TTTTCTATTATTCCACTCCAACACATTAATTCTCATTGTATTCTTGAAAAGTGATTGTACATCTGTATTTCCTGATTGATGTTTAGAAGAAAGAAAGAAAGAAAAAAATCCTTCCTTATCTCCATGTCTGCCTGCTCAGGGCTTTTTTTAACCCCCCCCATTAGCTTACTCTGCTTTGCAGTATTTCTGCTAAGCTTCAGCCTCTAACAGGTGTGAGCAGCTCTGTGTTTCTGGATGGTTTAGGATGAGCTATGTTGGTTCCCTGCACAGTGTGTGCATGCAGGCTGCTGGAGTTGTTACGTGGTGGAGCAGCGTAGACCGTGTGTAAGGCAGGCAGCAGCTATGGTGCAGCAGTGGATGGAGCCACGATCAGCACGTGTAGCACAACCCTTTTTCTTTTTAAAACCAGACAAGAGACTTCTGTAAGAGCTGTATGGGGAGCAGAAATCTTATGGCAGTGCACAAGGGGAAATGTTTTGCTTATTTTTAAATACTGACTTTGAAAGAAAATAAAATTGCTGGCAAAGCTAAATGTAATTGTCGTTCCCTCAGGGAAGCATTTGCAACTAACTGAAGTGTTCCTACTTGTAAAGCGAGACTGCTTGGAGAGTGCCTAAAGGCTATTGCAGTGTAGTAGTTTGTACTCCTTCAGTGGACTGTATCAAGTTTGGGCTTCCTAGGGTATTTAAGTACAAAACACATGGTAGAGAGTAGCCTGTTGTGGCTGACATTATATATATATATATATAATCTCCCGCTTTTAGGGGAGCGGCTGTACTGTAATCAGCTGATTAAAAATCAACCCTTTGAGTCATGGCCAAGGCAACAGAGCAAGTAATTTCTCAGATAAAACAACTTGTGTCTCAAGAGAATCTTAGATAATCTCATGTTCTGGAAAAGCATGAAGCACCACCAGCATTCTGGATTAGTGGTGGTTTATGAAGCTAGCTTTCGTTAAATGCATATTGTGTGATAAATCCACTTAGTGCTCTGAGCAGAAGAGTCTAAACCTCTGTGTTGGAATGGGTCATATCAAACCTGTTTTCTATTGGAGGGTGCCAAAACAAAGCTAATGTGGAAAGACCAATAGATAAGAGCAGCAGAAGGGAGAATAAGTTCTCCTGTTGTTTCCACAGAGGCATTAACTTCATACCTTTAGTACATGCATCCCAGGCAGATTAAATCAGCTTGTGAAAGGCTGAAGACAACTGATGTCTATATTTTTGTAAATGGCTGGTAACTTATACCCTTGCTGAGGTGAACTTAATATAAAGATGCGAGTCCTTTCATTTGTATGAGGTTTAGAAAGGCTGCTGTTCCCTTCTACTGATGCTGACTGTTGAGCTGGTTGTGTTTACAACCACAACTCTGCAAAGGACTTGCCCTATTGTACCATACCAAGACAGCTGATGTAAGTCAATGCATATAAGGAGCAGAAATAAAGGATTCTTGAGAAAGCAAAGAAGTGCCTTAATTTTCTGCTCCATCACTATCCCTGTTAAAATTTTGCTTAATGCAATAGCCTGCTATAAGGAGAAAAAAAAAAGCCAGGAAGATGATCTAATAACTTAAGACAACATGTCATAATCATCCAAAGCCTGGAACTTACTGTTCCTGGGGGTTAGCAAGACAAGAGAGAAGCTAACAAGGGTGTGTGGGGAACAAAAATTCACAGAATTAAGGACAGGACAGTCACTATTTTATTGCATTCAAGTCTTGGTAAGACAAGCATTTACAGTAACTTCTCTGCCAAAGGGCAAAATAAATTGATTGCTTAGACAAATCTTTATTAAAAATGACTACTATAACACAGGCTAATTGAAAGGATAATAGACTGTAGCTTCAGTACTGCGGAGCGCAACGTGGGATAGCTGCTCTTCTGAGAGGAGCTGTGGAGGTGCATGTATACGTATCTCATGTTTGCATCCTGTAGAAAGTTACAGTTCAGCTAAACAGTAAGTACCATTTCCTAGAGCAAGGGCAATGACTCTTTACAGGTTCTAGTCATGCACTGCAAGACAGATGGGGCACACTAGGGATTGGAGTTTAAAAAACAAAACATAGCCCCAGATGTAGCCTCCATCAGTAGGATTTAAAAGAAAATAATATTGGTAGTAACAAGGGCTACTCTCCACAACTTGCTTTTTTTTTATTTTTAAAGCACAGATTTGAGTACAGAAACCTGCAAAATAGTCTTGACTCATACTCACTACAGAGGTGGAAAAGCTCTATGCCATCTCAGTAATTTAACAGGAGTGAGTGCAGTCTTCTACGGAACATGATTTTTCTTTTCCTTTCTTTAAACCAGCTCTTGCTATTTCTATTTAAAAAGGAAGACCTGGCTGTGCAGCTTTGTGAAGTGCTGGCTTTTTGCCCAAAGGACTGGCTACTGCTTCCCAGTAATGATTTTCTTCTTTATGATCCTGCTGGAAATCTTTATAACACCAATGATGGAAAAGAAGCCAATTTTATTACAAGTACTGATACTGACTGGCTGGCTCCTTTGGAGAGTAGTAGACTAATACACCACACTTACACTCTGTCAGCACACAGACTTGGCCTACTGCTTGAATTCATGTGGTGCCACTAACACACATCATTCTGTTTTCTTACTCACATTCAAGTGAGTGCTGCTGTCTTTATCACGCAAAGATGGTATAGCCAGTGTTGCAAAGTAAGAAATCCAAAACAACATTTATTAAGAAACCAGAAAGGCACAACTGTGTTCACTTGCAGTGGGTGACCTGAGTTAGCAGGGAATTTAATTCTGCCTTTGGCTACTGTGAACAGAATCCAGCTTTGCAGGTAGGTCTCTCGACTAAGAGCAAAATGTTTCTCTATCGCCAGATTCAGCAACATTTAGCTGCCTCCTCCACAGCAAGATTAAACAGACACAGCATCCACAGAAGACAACCAATACTCTAAGCAGACAGAAGTGAACCAGGCCCTTCTGGTCCTGCTCAGTGCTCATTAAAGTATTCAGTGAGCACATCCATGAGCTCCTGCTTCTTCCCCCCAGCCTTCAGCCTAAGAAGCTTGCATGCATCCTTCAGGTAAGGTACAGTGAGCTTGCCTAGAGTGCCCTTCTGCACGTGACTCCGCAGGTCATCTTCTGAGATTTCCACCTTGGGTCTCTTCTCAGTTTTACCATCAGAAGCTAGAAAGAGAAATTTTAGATCGCTAAGATTTTAAAAAGTTTCTCAACAGAAAGACATTAAAGCTTCTAATACATACTACAGTTAATGGCTGTTTTCACATGGTACTTTAACAGTGACCCACAGGCTTAGTTTCCACATTTTGTTTTAAGAAGTATGTGCCTGTCACTACGTAAATCCTGTAGCATTTCATCAAGAGGAATGACTTCAAACTCAAGTATGAAACTTTGTGTTCTGACGGAAAGATCACCCCCAAATGAAACTTTTAAGGGATTCTCATCTAGACAGGAGAATGCAACTATTTCACAGGGTAGTTCAGCTAACCAACACTCCCACTTTATGCAGAGTGTTATAGTCTCCCAAACTACACAGGTACTTCAGTATTACTTAGACATTTAGCCCTAAAGATGCCCACCTTGGACCTGCTAAACAGCCCATGCATAAAAGTCCACTTCCTCACCAAGAACACAAACAGAAAACACAAATTATTTTACTACTCTGTCATAAAAACCCTAAAGTTATTAATAATGATGATTATTATAATAATAATAATAAACAAACATATCTTGCAGTAATTTACCCACATTGCTTCCTATACTTCCCTGTTTTTTCATTATGTAGTTTCTCATTCCTGCAGTTCTCCAACTGGATACCGCAATATCCTCTACTCCCTAAGAATCACCACTGGATATAAATCCACTTTGTTGTGGAGATGAGTAGAGTTATTGCACAAGCAGCTTCTTTAAACCATGAGACAAACTGAGAAGGCAGAAGCCCCTCAACAATGAACACAGACACCACACCGCAGGTCTGCACCATCATTACCTTGTTTTCGCTTTCCAGCATTCCCATCAGGATTGTAGTCAGGGGGATAAACCAGCTGCTTAAACTCCTCCACCAGTCTGCCTACCCTGCGGTTTATCATGTCAGCCTTTGGCACTGGCAAAAGAGAAAGATTCGCTCTCTCAAAAACAGTGTGATCACAGGAAAGTCTAAACAAGGCTGTCACGAGATACAGTTGTGCTTCTGTAATAACTAGCATGCAAGCGTGCAAAATGCAAAAGCCTATGTTACGATATTCACCAAAGAGAAATTTACGGCTCTTGGTAATATCAAGAGTTTGTATTTATACATATGTAATGGATTTGCACATATCTCTGGATGGGAAATAAATACACAGAACAAAACTTACAGGTTGGAAGTGATCTAAAAGATCTCCTCTACCTGGTTGCACTCAGGTCTAATCTCAGACATTTAAAATATAACAGGTTACTGTCTCTAGTTTGAGGCAGAACAGCTTGTTTCTGTCATGTATTTGTACAATATCTAGTACAGGGACCTGGGCTATTTCTAGGTATCACTCAGAAGAGACAAGTAATTACTCTAACACTGTTCCTGGAGTACAACATAGTTTCAAAAAAGGAACTTCCCCTTCAGGAGTAGGTTTCTATCCTTTATAAGATATTCTTATAGAGAAACTCTCAGAGCCACAAGGTGGCATCATTGCCTCCTAGCAAAATAATTCTCTAATTCTGCTCATTTCTCAGACTGAAATATTAATTAGACTCTTGAAGGGAGGAAATTCAGAGAAAATATTTGTCATCACACAGAAAAGATGATTCCATTTTAATTTTGGAGGGTAAAGTGATCAATTTTTCCTTTATCCTAAAAGTGACAGCATTAGAAAGTAAAGTTTCAACATTTCAGAATGGACACGTCTACAATTCTACAACTTGGAACTGCACACAACTGAAATATTTTTTAAGAAACATTTGGTATTGTAGTAGCACATCTCTGACT